TTTTTGGCGGTGTTCAGAGTAGAACCAGAATTAGTATTTRTAACATTTGTCAATCTTTAAGATGTCTTTGAAAAGAAATTAAACTAATGAAACTCCCTTTTAAAGTAACTTTTGTATTCCCTGGTATCTTTTTAGGTTGGAAAAAAATTTTCACCCCTTTATTTGTGTGCACGTTAGCACAAATGCTGCTGGCAGTTTCTGCTGCTTAYGGTATTCTGAGAAAAGTATATTTTCACATTTTTGGCACCTGTGCGGGATGGGGTTTTKCCACCCCTATAGACTGGAGTGCAAAAGACAGAGAGACAGAGTTGTTTCACAGCTCATGGTGCAGCAGGKGATGGGCAAACAAGGGGCTCAGTCRCAGYGCTCAGTAAAGCATGTCCTTGCTATTACGTAGGAAGTGTACTCTCAGTACAGTCAGTGAAAGTGTACTTTTGCTAGGACTGTAGAAGATGTTCACATGTGAATGTGTGAAATTCTGGAATAATTTGCTCTCTGTGGATAATTTGTACATTAAATGTACAGTAGCAACCATTTAAATGTATAGCCTCAGAGTACAGTAACTCTTTTTAGTTTACTGGCACTCACCTCCACAGGGATTTCCTTCTGCAAGCTTACAAATTAGTTTGAAGCAAATGTGTTCATTAATTGGGTCTAATAATGATTATAATATATTCTGTCTTTCCTTCCTGGGATTTTATTCACTATAAAGTCATTTTTTTGTTAAGTGCTCCTCTTGAAGGGTGGCCATGGTAGGGTTCARTCTTGCGAATAAGTGATATACTGAAGTCTATCCATTTCAGTASAAGAACGATAAAAACTTTGATAGTAGGGATTTACAGGATTAGGTCCAACAGTTTTCAATATTATTTTGAAGTATACTAAATTTGCTGTTTTTTCTCTATGTGTTTAAGCAGTCATTGATATGACATGTGAGAGCTTTTAGACTTCCGAGTTTTTGCTGGAACTGTGGATACTTTTATTTTCAAGAGTAACAAAAAGCCTGGATGGCTCAGAAAATGTTCTCTGAATAGCATTCATATAATAGCAACTTGGCACTGTGTGTGTTTGTGTGAAAAGACAATTGATGATATTTTAGGGTTATAACAAAATGGCTCTTCTGAAGCACATCCTTTTAGAAAAATTGGCTGTATTTATCTTGCTCAAAATCTCAGCATAAATGCTTTTATTATTGTTAAGTCAAGCTCTTACACAACTAATGATTAGTAGAAATATTTCTGGAACTTTGTTTTTACTTTATCACCAGTCATGATGTTTGATTTTAAGCATAAATGTTCTCAGCATTGTTTCATCCTTGATCCTTTTCCCTGCCTCTCCTCTGCTGCACTCTTTGGTGAYTGTGTTGATTTCCACCCATTCCCCAAATCATTTAACTATATACCATTTCCTGCACCCAGATGTTTATGTACTAAAACAGATTGTGGTTTTTGCCTTTTCCCTGGGTAACACTATGACATCTGTATTTAGTTTCCTGCTGCTGCTTTTTGTAGCTTTCAAGTGTGTGCTGCCATCTATGGAGTAATCATAGAAATAAAGCTGGTATGAGAAAGGTGTTTTATCAGAAGATCATGGAAAACGTGATCTAGCTAGCAGAGGAGGTATCATAGAGCAATTGCCCAGATCTCAAGAAATCCCATTTCTCYGTAGTCCCAGATCTCACAGCAAGCACGGGTGAAGTATACCGTTTAGAAAATCAGTGATTTGTAGTAATTAGATTATTCTGTAGATTTCTTTATASTGGACAAATTATCAGGGCAGCCTAAAAATCAGAATAAATTTACTTTGCCCTCTAATCTGGCAACTCCTTCCTTTTCCTTCCTCCCCCTATCTGTCCTAGTTCTTCAGCAATTTCAAGATCTGCTTACTATATCTTTCTTCATTTGTTTTTCAAAAGTTAATTTTAATTCCTTATCCTTCCCCAGCATCTTATTAACTGACCTTGCGTCTCTTCTCAGTGTTCAGTTTCATCCTCACAAGTTCCAAGTTTCCCTCCTTTGGATCCCTTCAGAATGCATTACTGATGATTAGTCTCCATTCTGTCTCTCACAACATTTTGTTGCTCGATATTCATTTTAGAGTGTACATTTATTGCAACGAATTTTTCAAGATGGTCTGAAAAGCACTTGCAGAAGTAATTTTCTGTTTTAATGCTGTTCATGTGATTTCAGCTTGCAGATTTTTGACTAAGGGTTTTAGCATCTCACAGCCTTGAGTGGGACAAGGTATATGAGATCCCAGCAATTAGGTTTCTATTGGTTTGATCAGACTCCTATTTGATTTCAGCAAGATGTGGCAAATAACAACTAAGTCTTTTGGTCTTTCCTCAGCAAAAAGAGTTTTGGAGTGGGTGTATATTTAACCACTACTTCTTAAATGATTTTTTTAAACACAAGGCTTTGGAATCAAAAGSAGAACTTTAACCTGTGTGGATGAAACATTCTTAAAAATATCTTCTGACATTTTCTTCTTACTGCTGAACTCAGAAATTGATCTTATTTCCTCGCATCAAAGACAAAATGAAGGAAAAAAAATCGATGCTGAAGATTGATCAATGTTTTTCRAAACTGACTTAATAAGATAAAAATCAATGCAGCTGTATTATTTTCCATTCTGTCATCACCAGTAACATTCAAACATGGTAATATTTGATTCTTAAGTTAAATGTGAAAATATTTCRGTTACCTCCTACAAAGACAAAAAATATATAAGGAGGGATTTATTTAGTCAAAGTTCAGTTTTCTTTTTAAACTTAATTTCGGAAATTTGAGTTCTGCAGAAACTGAAAACAGTTTGATATTTTAAGTGACAGTATATATTGTTMCTTTAGTCACACAGACTTAAATAGAATAAGCTGTTACTTGTATTTGCAAATTACAAACTCTTATCCTCTCTTCCTTCTGCAAGTATGAGTTCCATCTTGCTTGGTTGAGAGATCTGTACTCAAAAAAATGGAGAAAAACTTGGAAACTGAATTTCCCTCATGACAGGTTCATAGTGCTTTGAATTTAGAGCTTTACTATGCAAATACATTGGCTGGTTAACCTTTGTTGGCAAAAAATGAGTGGTTTATTTGTAATATTTTTGTTTGTTTGTTTGTTTTCCCAACATTTGTTTCCCTTTTCTGCTCCCCCTGTCCTCAGTAATGTTGAGATCACTTATTGATTTATTTAAAGAAAAACCTTAAAAACTGACATCTGTAATATTATTGAACCAATCTCCAAAACATAAGTTTGGCCTCACAGTTGAGAGGGTTTTTTWAAAAAAATRATTTGRCTTTCARTATTCCTGTTCACCTGCTACCTTGGGTTTAGCCCTTTGGGCTCCCAATTTGAATCTTCTCTTAACAACTGAGTGCTAGAAAATGTTCTTTTAGGGAAGAAAGTCAGTGTTCTCACATAATCACTGGAATGGGTGARCTGGGATTTTAGGAAAGCACCAGACATTGAAAGACGCATGATAAAATCCTAAATACTGGCRAGCCTCTGGTATTGGCATCTTTTGTTTTAAAGATTTATTTAATGAGCACAGGAAGAGAGCTTTCTGCATAAATTTCTACTGAATTGATTCCCTATCTGCAAGCTGGGCCAGAATGTCATAAAATAGGAAATGCAAACCTGATAATAGTTAGACACAGACTTTGAGAATATTTAACTTAATCAGGTTCTCTGTGGGCCAGCAACTTTCTCATCTGCTCTTCACATTCCTTTRCTAATTGATTGATAAGGTGAGTTTGCTTCCCTCCTGCAGTAGTTCTGAGGAGGGAGCATTCATTGGGCTCAGATAGTCCCACCCCTTCATCTCTCCCTCATCAGCAGCTTCGTCATCAACAATATCTGTAATCACATAATGAGAGAGCTTATAAGGGTAGCTCTCCTCTTCTTTCCTCCTCCCTCCATGCTGAGACAGAGCAGTGGCATGGCATATTGTGTAGCCAAAAGCTTATCAAGCCTGAATTTGTCACACCTCTGAATTTGGCAGGCAAGAATTCACAACCACTACAGATGTGCATGGCTCATCACCACGTGAAGCTGGACACCCTGAGAAGACAGATAATATTGGATTGGTTTTCTTGTTGCTCTGCAATCAATCAAATAGGCTTAAGCTATGGAATCTGATATTCCCTAATTGACAGCTTTTCCAAGGTTCATTTGTTAACTGAGAGCRTGACATGTATTGAAGTTGTTTCTTCATAATGTGTTTGGCATTAACAGGAGGAGCTGTTGAATGCCTCAGACATCAATGTCTCAGCAATAAGATATTTCGCCTGCAGTTTTGARTTTCTAGCTAGTGACTTTGTATTTGCAAGGGCCTGTGAAATGAGCATATGAYAGGACAGGGCATGAGAAAAAAGCTTAAATACATTMTCTTAAGARAATTTGTGAGACAGTGTTTTTGCTGCTTGGGAAATTTACTTTAACTCTAAAATTACTTGATTTTAACTCTAATGGTTTACAATTTTAGTTAATTTCTCTAGCACCTAGTTAAGTTTCTGCATGCATTCCTCCTTCTGGGAAGAGAACATTCCTGGAGAAGAACATGAAATTTTACAGATATTGTCAAAATAATTGGGGCATTTCAGTGGTGCTTTGACTAGCATTGTTTAGGAAATGAAACACAGCTGTTTAGATGAGGAAAAATTGAATGAATGGATCAGGATGCCTTCATCTCACAGGAATAAAGAGCCYAGCTTTGACAGAAGGGCCTATTCAAAAAATACTAGGGAAGATGAGCAAAGCCAGGTTTCGCTTAGAAAAGCCTAGAAACAAACTTTTGAAAGCCCTGAGATCTGGAAACTAAGCACACACTCCTCCCTCTGTAAACATCAATGGCCTGAGTTTCTGCTGCAATCAAATATTGCTGAGCCCTTGAGGGACATTGTAGACCTGTCCCCAAGGAATTTCTCTTTTATTTGCAAGGTCTGTGATCAAATGTTTGGGTGTCTGACAAGCACCTATTCCAGAAACACTTCTGTCTTGCAGGGCAAGCACAAGCTGCRTGTGGACACAGGACTGGAAGGACCCTGGTGTGGCCTCATCCCCATCGGGAACCCCTGTGAGAGTGTGACCACAACCGGCCTTAAATGGAACCTCAGTAAGTGAGACACCCCTGGGACGGTGGGTTTGGTGTACTCCTGACCCTATTTAGAGGAGCTGCACCAGTCATGAAGGGCCCTACAAGTTTGAAGGTGAAGCATGACGTTGTGACRTTGAATCCCTGCTAGGACATTTTTTTTTTCCTAGAAATGAAGGCGCTTTTACAAAAAGGCAAGAGAAATATGCTTATTTCTCTTGAGGTATCACAGGCACAAGCACATTTTCCATTTGGGAATCATTGTGCTCTTCAAACAGAACATTTGTTGAGGTCATGATACATTATCATCTTGATACATTGCCCTCCAYGGAGAAGAAGCCACAAATGTTTAAACTCTGCTTATCAGCTGTAAAGTTACAACAGACAAATAATAATGTGACACAGATTATTAAAGCTACCTTACTTCCCCTGAAATGCTTCATGTATATTGTCTGTTTCTCAACCCTGAATTAATAGATTCTTTTTCTTACTTTAAAGTGGAAAAGAATGTATTTGATCTAGAACCAGGGACATTTATCTGTAGAGAAAGGTTTCATCACCAAAAAAAGTAAAACAACTTGTGTCCTCCTACTGCTTCCTCCCCCACTGAAACATTTGGGATATATTTACACAGGAAACTAATGGGATATTCTCAATGAAGATTCATTAAAACTTAAGGGAAGCAAAGAAGTAATTGAGAGGCTCTGATCTCACAGTCTGATTGACATGTCTGGGCTTTAGAGCCATCCCATGCAGAAAGGGCATGCTGTTCTCACAGTTTACAGTGCAATGCCTTCACAGGCTAAGAATTAATCTGAGACTGACCCACTGTGCCAGCCAGCAGAACATCTGCTGGTTCCACTGAGAGCTTGAGCATGTGCAGTTAAGGTGCTGGTAGGCATTAGTAGCTCCATGATAAAAGATATAAATATGTCATTGGTTTTGGATGGTGGGAGAATTGCCAGATGGGGAGCTGTCTGGCTAGAATTGTTTCAGTCCCTTTAAACTGGATTGAAAGAGCTGAATGTATTGCGTAAGGGACATTCTCTTAATTTGAAAAAGAGTCCGATATTTTCAAGTGTACATATAAATATAGTTAACAAGTAAGGTACTGAATCTTCATCTGCTCATCTCCTGTTGTCCAGCAAGTTCTGTGGCCCACTGCACTGAGGTAATAATTTCTCAGAAAATGTTCTACCCTTCAGAGTGAGGTGAAAGAAGCTGAAACCTCRTGTAAATGAAGGTAGCATCTCGGAATCCTGTGTCATATTGCAAGGGCTCCTGTGTGGATCAAAATGTGGGAGATGCTATGAGGTTGCAGCCCTTTCTTCTGGGTTTTGGGGGTTTTCTTTGTTAGCTGAAAAAGCTATTTTGCAGATACAAGAGAATTTTTTTTCAGTTTAGTTACATAAATTTCATCAGGTTTACCAGGCGCTTATTGGAAAGTTGTTAATTTTAAAGATCTGTCTGCTCCCAGAAATGATATGGCTTAGTTACTTTGTTACTACTAAATTATGGTTGTCTGATCTGCTAAAGTTAAAGAGGGGGATTGCAATTCAGCTGTGGCAGCTGGAGGAGGCTGCAGGGGTGAAATGCAATGGAAGCAAATTTTTTCTATCCAGGGTTGGGTTAAGATGTCAGTCTTAAATGCTGGCCATTACTAGATACGAACCTATGAGGATTTTTATTACACTTAAATTCTTTTTTTTTTTCTTTCTTTTTCTGGCAGACAAAAAAATATTATATAACWGTTTTCCTGCTTGTTTCATCCTAACATGATGTCATTATCTCTGCTTCTCCCTGCCCTTGTTGCTGTCACTTTCCAGGAGGAAAGAGAGCAGACCTTTACAGTGTTTTTATCAGTGATGTGTATATTGCATCCTATTATAGGCTATGTTTTCACTCCCAGTATTCATGTTTCTCCCAGGTTGTAGTTCTTTCAATTATTTCTCTATATTAATGACAGATACWTATGTAAAACCAAAAAATTATCTGGTCTTCCTTGAAGAAGTTMTATCTATCTGAGACATCAAGGTCATTAAAACCTGAAACTGCTCCCTTGCTCAAGTGACTGGAGCTAACCTTTTCACTCATCCASAATAACCTTTAAATAAGGTTGTTGTTCAGACACTGATTAAAAAATTCAAGTGCAGTTGCATTTCCCAAAAGGGAAACCAATAGCTCCATTACAGCATGTGCTTAGTCATGACTTGGTTGGATTTTTTTTTCCCAAATAAATAGGACCTAGATTCAGACAGCTTAAGTTTGATATTAGCTTCCATTGTGTTAATGGATTTCTGTGCTGCTTGTAGTTTTGCAGTCACTTCTAAAATATTAGTCCTCCTGGAAATTGGGATGGGAAAGCAAAGGCTCAATAAGAAAGAAATAGAAAAATAAAAATAGATACTGAAGTGTGGCATGGATGTCAGCCTTGCTGCAGAYGGCTGTCAGTGGCAGAACTTTCCTGCTCATTTGGCACTCTGAGCACACACCTTTGTAAACATCAGTGAATAAGTTTTTGTGGTTATAAATTCATTTTCATGTGTAAATCATAAAATAAATGGAATTTGTAAGCCAAACATGACATGAAAGGCCTGTTCCTTCAGTTTGTTATGGAATTAATTGGATGTGACCTAACAAGTTTGGTTCTAAAAAGTAATTTTTGAGCCCTCAGAATATTTAAGTATCTGGGCAATAAACTTATTTAAGAATTTTAGTTCAAACAGCGATGCATTAGGAGGGAGGGGAGCCCTCACTTTTGCAAACATTAATTTCCAGCAAATCAAAATTCAAATAGCAGTGCATTAAAAGAAAGAGCTGGCTTTTCATCAAGGTTTTTAATGTTTAACACCAATTTCTGTCTGAGCATATCTAGATTACTCTGACAATTAAAATTTGTAAAACCTTCAAGAGGTAGTCAAATGTTATCTGTGTCCAGTCTACAGGTGCTGTTACAATACTTCATAGATTCTAAATAGGAAAAGACAAGGATAAATACATAGGACAGAAGCTGTATTGAGGTTAAGAATAGGTTACCAAAGTTTCATTTCAATGGGTGAATTAGATAAACCCGAAATCTGTAAGTCATTCAGCCAGCAGAGAAACAGTGCTGTTTTTAATGTCTTTTAGTATTACTAAATTCAGTATTTTTCGTGTGTCTGTTTCAGAATGCAGCAGATATGCATTCTTTTATGCATGCTTATTTTAGTTATTTGCTATCACTTGTCACAAACAGAATTTTCATTTATTTTAGTTCTCATCTTATGGGTGAAAGAACTTGGAAAAGAAAGTAGAAAATTGATTAGAGAAACTATTTTTATCCACACTTGCTATTGTGTAGCGCACACTCAGGACATATTATAAATATATTCTTTCCATTCCCAAAGGGGTACAGATATTTTCTCTATTAAAACCTGATTTACAGTACAGGAATCAGATAATGCTTTATCTGATTTGACTCACCTGGCTGCTTACTGATAACAGCTCTCAAGTCTAATAAATAAATAACAAAAATCCAATAAAGCCAGAATTACCCAGCATTCTTCATTAGTGTATTCCTGGAAGGTAAATAAGAATGAAGGCAGAAATAAGCTGCTCTGCTCATCAAAGTAGAGGTTGGAGGGTAACAGAAGGCTTTTTTAGGAAATGATTCCTTTTCTGTGAAATTACTTTAGAAAATAATCTTGCCAACTAATTTATTCTTCCTGCTTATGGCCTTTGATATGCTGTATGTCCTGCCTGTACTAAAAAGGCCAGCATCTATGTGTGTATATATATAAACTATGTGTATGTGATTGTGCTTTCCAGATTATTTTCATGCAAATTTGCCTTCTTTAGACAGGAAGTTAAATTGCTGTAAAATGCTGCCATTCAAAAGAGTTCCACTCTCATTTCACTTCAAAAGGCAATAGCAATAACAACGGGAGCAAGATCTTTAACTGTAGCCACAGAGCATCCACTGATTACTAACGTCACAGGTAGATGAACAGGATCCCAAATCYTTTTGATGCTGTTTACATTGTTAGTAAAATTGAAATGTTTGCACTGTTTTACTTCACTGGGGGTTTATTGATGTTGCATTGTGAAAGGAAGAAAAAGTTTACAAAAGCAGTTGTGGTTTATGTCTTAGGAGAATTCATAGTCTAAAAGAGGAAAGAAAATTAGTAACAGCTTAAAAAAGTAAAAAAGAGGGTGAGGGACTGTTCTGGGAAAGGTTGTAAAATAAAATTGACAGGTATCTCTGCTAGTGAGGCTGTTTGTATAAGCACTCTCTAACTTGTTTTATAACTGTAATAGTTTATATCACATATTTTGCTACCCCAGTTCATTCTGACTGAGGCAGACTGAGTGGCGCTTCTGGGAATAGTTTTGTTTTCAGTGCCAGAGTAAATAGCTTCACAGCTGGATTCCCACTCTCCTCTGCTTTCCTCTCCTTCCCTCCCTTCTCTTGTTCTTTACTGGCAGAAGATATATTATCAGAGATGTGTTTTTTCACTTATCCATTGCAGCTCCAAGGCTCTGGGTAGGGGTGGGGTGGACAGGAATGGTGTTGCTGATCCCAAAGCGYGGAGTGGCTTTGACCTTTGGTGAGCTCTTTGCCTGCAGGAGTGCTGCTGTCAGCCTTGCAGGGTCACATCATTTATTATAAGGCATGGACTGCTGAAATGCTTTTCCAATGGAACAGATGTTCTGATGGTGGCAGCCTGGCATCCCACTGGCTTACTGCAAGTCAGCAAAAGCAACAATGAGGATATTGCTTATCATTGCATGAAATTATTTTGAACCACAAAGACCATTTGGTGTGCATTAAAGGACCGATGAACAGAGACCTCAGTTGTGCTGGGCCTCTAAATCTGTATTTGCATTTTTTGCTGAACAGCAGCTTGAAAACTCAGGCTTTGTGAAGAGGCTKGAAATGAGGATTTGACATTACACATTCAGTTCATTTAGACATCTTTCAATAAATGTTTGGAATCAGTGGGAGGGGAATTTGGATCCAGCTCCTCTTTGACAAGGTAGCA